TAAATGTTAATATTAAGAGCTCAAATTTTTAAAGCCTTGCTTTATTACCTTTCTGATAGTTTTTAGCCTGTTTTTAGTTGACAATAAAAAGTTGCTCAAAAATGACACCCTAACCTATATATTGACATTATTATAATACACACAACCAAACTTATATGGAATCATCTATTATTTTTCATAATTTTTGAGATGTATGAACATTTTTTGTTTATGAATAAAACTCAGTCCTTACCAAAGACTTTTAATGACAAATAACTCACATAGCAATAAAAATAATTAATAAGACAAAATAAACACAATGGTATTTTGTTAGTTTCTAAAACGAAATGAGATTTAAATTTTTAATAGCCGAAAAGCAGCACAGAAAGAAAATTGGTAATTATAACAATCCGTGTTATCACCTCTAACCCTTATACAAGCTTCTATTCGCTTTGGCATGCTTCTTATTAAATTGTTAACATTGTCTTGGGTTGTGTTTTCCCATTCTGCTAATGCTGCATTAATAAGCTGTGCGACATTTCCTGCACTGTTTCGACGAGCTCTAATCCTTCTTTTGAGCTGGTCCCACAAGTGTTCGATAGGATTTAGGTCTGGTGAACATGCAGGGCAGTCTAAAACTGTGACACCTTCTGTTTCAAGATATTCTGTAGCCACTCTGTTGGTATGGAGAGGTGCATTATGGTGCATAAAGATACAATTATCCCCAATTGCAGCTCTCCAAAGCCTTACGATTGGTTCTAGCACTGAATCAACATATCTCGGACCGGTTAAAGTTTGTTGAAGTATTAACAATGGAATTTTTGCTTCTAGCATAATACCTGCCCAATACATTACACTTCCTCTTTGATATCTTGGGACATATCTGGCACTGTGGAGTCTCGCTCATCTTCCTGGAGCTCTGAGAACCCGAATTCGATGGTCATCTGATCTTAGGCCAATTCTGGTCTCATCAAAAAAAAAAAGAACATTTTGCCAATTCTCAATTGTTGTTTAGTTGTGACTCTTCGACTACTTTGTATGGGCCTGTTCTTAAGAGTTTCTAGTTCCAAGTACCTTTCATATGCTTTCAATACAACACCCTGGGCATCGCTTACTACCTCTGCTACCTCTCATTGGAGCATTCCTTGTTCAATGAGAGCAATAATTCTCACCCTCCTGCATATCTGTTAGTCCAATGTAAGGCATTTTGTTGTTTTTTTTTTTTTGACCGAAATAAAATTACCGGAGAATCGTAATTTTACTTCTGAACACAAAATTCACAAGATAATAAATCTCAGCAGTTGTTTCTTTTTTATTATCATGTTTGTTAAGAACAAAAGGACTTATCTTAAAGTTAGTTACCAAATTTTTTCCTTACAAAACGTTTATTCAGAAATACACAGTGATTCCATATACGTTTGGTTGTGTGTATTTTAAGCTGCCAAATCACTGAATATTTAACAATATTATTTAGTTTCATACCAGGTGACCAATGAGAGCAGGGCCACGTTATTACTTTATCAAGCGATTTGGATCAAATTTTGGATAAACTTACTAGACAATTTCGAATTGCTAAATTTTCAATTTGCCCAAACATTTTTTTTTTATTTTTTTTAGTATTTTTTATTATTTATATATTTTCTTTTCAGAGAATTCTCCATAATGTCTAGTAGGTTTATCCCAAATTGTAATCCGGTATTAATAACGAAACTGATTAGTTTTAAAATCGAACTGCCAATTGAAATATAGGTTAAAAACGTCAAATTTAACGAAATATTCGAATCCTCGAACTTTAGCAGTGCTCCTCGTATTCAATTCAATTTAACTTGAATGTTGTTATTCTATTTTAAGAATAAGAAGGCAAAATAGGAGTAGGCAATAAAAGTTGCCAATGTTAGCGTGTATTTATCGTTGGAAATATTGTTGGCACAAAATTCGTTTGCAAATTTAGGAGTATAAAATTCTTTGAATTACTAACTGAATATACCTAAATGTACAGTCACCTGTTGAACTAAAAATAAATATTAAGCATTTGTTATATATGTATGCATTTTAGTTAGTATATTCGCATTTAAAATAATTGCTATGTTTTTGGATACGTTTATTATAAGTTGCTTCTGAAACACGGAAGCTTATTTGTGATCCACAGCTTCGTGTATTCGTATAATCGGACAGTGCGTATACGTGGTCTACGAGTAGTTGTGCACGTGCACAGTAACCCCACGTCTGGCAACATATTACATCGCGAGCGATTTGACAAAAGCGACATAACATAACAAAGCATACAAGTAAGATTTCAGTTTCGGCAGGAAATTCCGAATAACCTTGATGACCAATCCTAGTAGTCATCGCTGAATTTTAATAGGTCACCCTGAAACCTGCTCCACCCCCTTTTCGGTGGCAACACTACAGCACGACAGCGTTATCGCTCAGCAATTTCGCCCTAAAGGACGGCAGCCCTACAGCCTGCCGAACGTTTCGTGCCTTCGGTCCTTTGTATACTAAACGACTTTCAACCCCCTTCGCTGTGAATTAACGACCAACTCCCTTTTTAGAGTGCTCGAAATGAAACAAAGGAAACACGGATATACGGTCAAGATTTGTGTTACTTTTGTGTTGTTTTTTAAGAGTTCGTATTATTCACGTCATTGAAATGCAAAAATATTATGCCCTTAAAACGTCAAATAAGCTAATGGGAAGAACGATTTTCATTATCTGTCCCAAAAATTATATCGAGGCTCAAAACAGATGGGCTCCCTATACCTAACAAATTAAATTCGGTATTAGGACCGATACGGGGTTTTGTCTTAGATTATAGGGATGAAATCGTATAACAGTGGGGCGTATTTTCTCTAATGCCACTCTTTTTAACAACGGTCTTACCCTATACATCTATCTAGAATTGGAAAGCCTCCTTTGCCCCTCGCTCCTTTCAAACCACTACTAATTATATTTGAAGAGTGGATAATATTCCGAATCTATTCATAATAATAATTAAATTACTTTCAACAAAACAAAAAAATTCTTTTTGAGACTGGGATCTCGGTATATTCAGTTTATTCACAATAGATGTTACTAAATTGCGATGAAGTCAAGGGGGGGAGGGGTGGAGGGGTAAAATTTACCAAGACGACATGATTAATACTAAATTATAATCACAAAGAGACTGGGAAAGTACGTATTTCTATTATATGAAACCCTTTTAAACATAACTCGTAAAAAATACCTATTGACATATTAAACTAGTAATTTGTAAGTTAATTAGTAAGTTTTTAGCCTGTAATAAATTTAATAAAGTAAAATTAAAAAATGCTGTACAACTTCCTTATTGTCGATGTAAAAGAAAAAAAAAGGAACAAGAAACTATTAAAATTTAAAATGAAATATTGGATATAGATAGTATGGGTAAAAATATGATAGGGATTATTTTCACTCATACTACCACAACCTATACTATCTAAGTATTCTAGAAAATTCAGATCTCTTCCAATTTGTATTTATCTGATGTAAGTGGGTATAATAAGAACAAATAAATCCGAATTGTGTTAATTGTAAATCTATCTAAACCAATATTTTTCTATGAGTTAACTTAATTAAATTTTTTCTTTGTTCTATCCTCGATTATCAGATTGATGACTATTCCCTGATTCATTTGAATTATATCAAATTGCATAAATATAACAACAACAATATACTTAACAATAAATGAGAAAGATAAAACAATCAATTGACTGCATTGCGAAAAGTGATTTTAAAAAACATTTAGATACTCGTGACATTTTTTGTCCTTCATTGAGATATTATATAGAGAGAAAATTGTATTGCATTGTTTAAAAAAAAAGATTAATTATACAGATATTATTTTAAGTATTTAAAAATATTTCTTAGAAGTGTTTCATACAGTAGACAAAAATATTACCTACCAAATGATACATTTTTTCATATTATTTACTTTAATACAAATAAAAAGGTCTTATTTTTTTGATACAGTTAATATTTTGGAAGATATGAAGTTTTAAAGTTTCAATAATCAAGATTTCGACATTTTCTTTATTGTTTTATAAGAAGCATCACTTTGTTATGTAAAACAATTTTGTGTGTATTATGTTTTATAAGTATTTTATAAATTATAATAATGGAGGGTAATTACCCCCAGTACCCCCCGTTAATCCGCCCTTGGATGAAGTTAAGACATTTAATGCCAAACAATCCATCTACACAATCTAAATGTTAAAAAGAAAGTCAAATTTGTTTGAATAGCAAAAATAAAAACTAGCAAATGCCGGCAAAAGGATTAAACCCAATGGTGTTTATTTTTAGTCAATTACTATAATCGTGTTATGTAAATACATACATATTCTCGATCCGAAGCTTAATATTACAGTACAATACCACACTCGTAGTAGACACGTTATTTTGAATTTAATTGAAAAGTACGAATATTCAAAATGCGAGAATATGTATAGTTACATAAAATATTAACTATGGTAAATTGTAAAATCCTTGACACATAAAGTTCACTGAACAGTCTAATTTCAACAAAACTTAAAGCTAATAACGTTGCCTGAATTCGCTCGCTCCTTAAGTGGATCACGCAATCCTTTTTAATTTATTCTTAAGAGGATGCATACGAAATTTTTGCGCACGTGGCATTTGATATTAGCAGGTTAAAAGGTTATTAGAGTAACAGCTAAATATTCTTTCTATAAATGTATATAGATTTTACAGGAAATTTAAAAGACATATCATTTAAGGACGTCTAAATTAAGCTTAGTTTGAATATTGATCTTATACCAACATCCAATCTGGCATTCACCAAATTCTTCCAATCTGGCTTTCAAATTTTTTGAAGACTCAATTGTCATGTTGAATATACATGAATATTAAAAATTTGATCTCTTTTCTATTAAGAGATTTAGAATAAACTAAATCACACATATGAGACTTGATTGAATTCTTATGTATGGATTAGACAAGTCTACATTTCTAAACTATGAATTATCTCCGACAAAAAGAGTAAAATGAGTTTTAAGGATAATGATTTGGTGACAAATTTTAGGATTAGAATAACCAAGTTTAGCACTGTTCTAGCGTGGATTTTAGAAATATTGATACTTCACAAAAAAGGCGTTGGAACCAACAAAAAAGGCGTTGGAACCAACAAAAAAGGCGTTGGAACCAACAAAAAAGGCGTTGGAACCAACAAAAAAGGCGTTGGAACCAACAAAAAAGGCGTTGGAACCAACAAAAAAGGCGTTGGAACCAACAAAAAAGGCGTTGGAACCAACAAAAAAGGCGTTGGAACCAACAAAAAAGGCGTTGGAACCAACAAAAAAGGCGTTGGAACCAACAAAAGACTTTGGAAACCCAAAAAAAAAACGAACGTCTCACTAAACAAGAATCTTCCATCAAGAAACCGTTTCAGTGCCGCTCAGGTCAATGGTTTGCAAATGTCCAATTAGTAGATGATGCTCAGTAAAAGGGTTGTTCCAACCCCTTCTTACAAATCGTGGGTTATTGGTGATATTGATCCTCCACAAAAAAGCGTTGGAACCGCCAAGAAAAACGTGAATCGGTTAAAAACGTACGTCTCGCCAAGAAATAGCTTTAAAAACGTACCACCAAAAAATCGAATGTCTCACCAAAAAGAGAATGTCACACCAAAAACACAATGTCCCACCAAAAACTCCAATGTCCCACCAAAAACTCCAATGTCCCACCAAAAACAACAATGTCCCACCAAAATAACTCTTTTAGTGACGTTTCAGGCCAATGGTTTTAAGGTGTCCAATTAGTGGCCGAATCACAGTAAAAAGATTAGTAAGCTTGTCAGCCTCTTGATTCCAGGTAGGTACTCTGACTAACTTTATAAGATTCCTGAGTAACTGCATGATTATGGAACATCTTCTTAGACAGAATCAGCTTAAGTACGTTTTTCTTGGGTATTGCCGATTAACAGGAGGAACTGCGATCGCTTTATAACAAGCAAGCACGTCTTAAATCCCACTGTTTACTTGTCGGAGTTGGCGGATGAGATCAATCGCCGTCATGAGATTGCCAACGACTTCTGCTTTCTCTCTTTTATTCTCGCTTTATATGAATATTCTTCTTTCTGTTGCCTCTTACAGTTGATGCGCAATAAAACTGCGTTATCAACATATGATAAGGGCTGGGCCCTTGAAACCTACTTTGAACAGATTATAGGCCAGGAGCAGGTGTTCGTAGATTATTATGGGAGATAAACCATGTATATGTTTCGGTCAACGGTCGTATATAAAATGGACCGCTTAGAACTGATCAACTAAAACACTCGCCTAGTCGTTGGCTCATCATCTTCAATCGGCAATCCGACACACATTTTAGGCTGATGTGCACGTGATCACTGCATGTCATCGGCGCAGCGAGTATAGTTTTGCATTATACCCAAGAAAAAATTAAGTTGAATATGTATATTTGTTCCTGTAAGTTATCAGATAATGGCGTAATGATAAAATTTTATTTTCTTCTGCAGATTTTCTACTTTGTAGGATGTACCAAAGACATATGTAGAACGCCTTGATTCATATACTGATTAAACGTCCTCCGTTTAACTGTCAAATTCCTATTTTCAATACTTGATTGAAATTATGTATATGTATCGCTCCAAACTGGTTAAAAAAACATGTTCAGCTTGGGACACCGTGTAATGTGGATAATGTATACTGAAAAAACTCACTCTATCGACCCATTAGTCTAATGAAGCACTTTCAGTAATGCTAAATACCAATTTAGAGAAGAAATGGCGACGTGGTCTAATGCCCTCTGAAAAATGAGCTTTAACCCGCCAACAAATTTGTAGGATGTTAAAAACATATGGTTCCTATTCGAAGAATGTGGATATTTCGAATTTTAAATCTGTAACCATTTGCTGGATCCTGTCCAGTTTTTTAAAAACGAAAGGGAGTTAATCTTGCATTTTTGGATATTCCCGCACTTCTATTTTGTCAGTAATCTGTTGGCTGTCAGCGATATATTTTTATACAACCGTGACGCCACGGTGCCAAAGCAAAGAATGCATACCGAGTATTTTTTTCATTATCAAAGGTCGCCATGACTATTTTACTTAACTTTGTATCAAGTCGTTTCGATTTTTACATATCATTTTGTTTCGGTTAGCGTATAAAGGATACGCGGACATTTTTTTAAATGTTAATTTTAAAGGACGACAGCTTTAGTTTTCCAGTAAAGATTTTTAATTGCCTAATTATTTTTATAATTATGTGACGTACACATTTTCGAATAAATTCAGTCAATTTCTCGTAACATAATTGGACGTATTAAGAGGTAAGTAAGAATTGTAAGTAAATACGATACAACCCGACATTTACATATTTTTCAATACTCAACTAACATTGTTAGTCCTATCATTGTGATCAGACTGGACATTTTTGTTAAAATATATTGTACAGGGTGTTTCTAACGTTAACTGTAGATGTGGAACACTTGGACGATTTGAAATTACCTAATATTAATAGGTCCAACATATGTCATTACCTAGATATTGAATTCGTTTGAACTTTTATTTGAATATAGTACAGGATGTCCCAAAAAATTGTAATATATAAAATTTTTATTTTTTTCTTAAGGAACGCCCTATATATTATTTTATTTATATATCATATGGGACCGTTCAAATATTACGTAAGCAGATTTATTACAATTATTTACCCCCCATCCCTCTTGTCAGCAAAAGTAAGCAAAGCTATTACCCCCTCCCCCCATGCTTACGTAAACATTTTTCAATTATAAATGTATTTTTTTTTATATTATAATTATAATTTTAAAAATAAGAAAATAGATTTAGGATAGAGATTAGATTTTACTGATACAGTTTTCAACATAGAGTAAAGGACAAAAATATTATAATAATCTTACGAACATAACAAACTTATTTTAAATGTTTGGTACACATATTAAATTTAAATTAATAGTCTTCAGTCCATGAAACCCGAATCCATGATTCTAAGTTTTCGATGACATTGGATTGCTTGGATTGCTGCTCAGTGTTGTGAGTCTGCTCACTTTCATCCGATTTTGGAATGTCTACGTCGTTCTCATCGAGCCATTCAACATCATGGTGCTCTAAATTTTGAATAATGCACATCAGTTCATTAGTACGACGAGCAGCGACTCTTACAGGTCTAACTTTCCTATCAGTGTGCGTGTTTACTTTTTTATGGATCTTCTCGATGTGACGATTTAGTGACTTAACGGAAGCATGATAAAGACCACACGTTTTGCATATTTGAGGGAATCCCCGAAAATGCGTTTCGTTTTCAAGCATAGACAATGTGAGGGTTGCCATTCGTGTAAAAAAGTAAATAACTACCGATGAAGTAATCATCATCTAGACTCCCCTACCCCCCATGTCATCCAAAATAAGCAAAACGTAGTGCTTACGTAATACTTGAACGGCCCCTATGCAAAAAAACAAGTTTTTTTATTACACTTATGGTTTCAAATTATTGCTTTGGAAACTACATGTTTTGGTGAGTAATTTTAGTATAGCAAAAGAACCCTATTAAAAATATACAGATTAAAATTCATATCGAAACATAAGAACAAGAACACTCTGTTCTTAAGTATTTCAAGAAAATGAAAATTTGTTAACAGTTATATGTAATTTGACCCGTAGTTCCAAAAAAAAAAACATAAGATATACGGGTGATCCATTAAAAAAATCAAGCTCAATATCATTTCCGGTAAAACCGGAAGTCGGCCATTTTGCTTAAGTATAAGTGTCAATTCGTAATCATGTAGTAGATTTGTTCCAAATTTGATCCAAATCGAGTAATAATAAAAAAGATATAACATGGGCTTTAGTCTCATTATTACTGTATAATTAACACAGGACCTTGAAAAAAAAAACAAAATTAATCAGATGATCTATTTTTGTTTTCAGAAAAATTTCCTGTATTAAGCTAAAGGATCATTTTAAAAAATCAAATTAAACGAATGGAATTTTTTTTATTTCCCAAGTTCTGACTTGAACCGACAAGACAGTTCAAATTTAATTTCTAAAGGTTAAAATTTTAATATTGTTTATAAAAACCAATTAAATCACTATCACGAAATTCGCGTCGTTTAGGATTTTTTTATCAGTTTGTTACACTGTATTTAGGTTTGAGCATAATTTAAATTTCTTATACGTTTGACAGACAAATATACGAACACGTTTTTCACACAACTTCCGGGATAAAGTTGGTACAAACCTGACAAGGCAGGTTAGTGCCATCTAGTGTTTATGTCTTAAATAAGCACATGGCTTGGTTACATTTTGTTTATACTCACTAATAGAAGGAAAATGGAAGGCACCAAGGAATCAACTATTATCTTAAAGATTTGGAGCTCAAAGCAACTTAAGCGATCCCTTAGAGGTTCTTTTATTCTGGTTCTAGAACGGCAAAGCTGTCAAATATCGTCAGAACGAGCAATATGTCAACTTACAGCTCAGGTATCAAAGAATAAGCCTATTTTTCATCAAGAACGTCAAAGGCATTTGTCACTAGTTGAAAAATATATTAAAAATAAATAATTTTTTATCAAAATAAAACTCTGATAAAATTAAAGCGTAAAAATTATATATAGGTGTACATTACTACTATTTCGCTATCGTACAAGAGAGAAATATAGAAAACAGGAAATGGATAACTGTGACAAGTACAAACAAATTTATATTTTGGTTTTGGTTTTCGAATATACCGCAACCGCACAAGCTCGCCACACACATGTATAAAGTGTTTTAATTAATTTTTACTATGTTTATCTGACCTCAAGATTTTTGAACCCTTCCACCGTTTTGCTGATCGCCGGGAAGTTGTAGTACAACACCGTTTATCCTAGACTGATAATGTAAATGACATGTAGGTGTGGATTTTTCTTTAAACAACTAATTTTCTTGTCGCCTTACTCTTTATCCTTTTTTAAATATTATCCTTTCAAAGTTCTTTGTTGTAGATTTTTGAGAAATCATAATGAGAAAATTCAGACATTTAATAAACATCTATTGAGAAGATCTACAATGAATATATGAACATGTACAAAACATGTACATTTACAAATATTAACATTGTAATTTCGCAGTTTTTACAATAATTGATTTTATATTCAACTACCTAAATCGCTTCGATGCATGGTAATTGTTTAAATACAGAGAGAAAATTTGACAGACAAATAAAAAACCTTTAGCGATAATACCTCTATCTATTTGTTTTTTAGCAGTGAATTTTACACCTGGCAGTCAAGGTAAATAAATGATATTCCAAGAAAACCAGTAGAAATTCACGGATTTGATTCGATAAACACATAGCTGGGTTGGTAGTGATAAAGTAGTTATTGATTTGTATTGCTTGCATGTTAATAATCAGTGTAACATCAATCAAATCGTTTTCTATACATTCAATTTGTGGAAATAGAAAGGAAA